AGCCATCTCAAATACCAGAAACTGTTCTGAGATTTTTATATTGATGAAGAAAATGAATTTTGACAATGCTAGGTAGGAAAATCATGTTTGTTCAAGCTTGTTTATACTTTAGTGATGATTAAGCTTAAATTTATAAACTTACATCTTCACCTTCATATGCTAGTCTGTTACAAATGCCTTCCCATACTTATCTAACCATGTCTCAAACACTATGAGTTGCATGTAAATTGTGAGATTTGCCTTTTAGATTGATAAAGACAAGCTCTGAGGTAAAATAATTAATAGCAGGGTATCTTTTTACCTTGAGTGTGAGGAAAACATAGAAGAAATATTTACATATGACAATAAAAACAGCAGACTTTTGTCTTGCTGTAGAACTTGCCTCAACCTTGTTAGTACCTATGCTGTTTTCTATACTGAGAATATTTTATATCATCCAGCTTTTGTTGACACAGTGAGAAGAGATATTTACTTTAGTGCCTGAATAAACACTTTATAGTACTGTAAAGTACTGGCAATTTAGTGCCTGAATAAATAAAGTATTTGTAAAGTATTTGTGTACTGAATGAGAATGACTAATATAAATGAGTTTTACCAAGGCGCTCTGTGGTGTTATTTAGAAAAGTGATTATTTCTTTAAAAAATGAAAATCCCAATCAAAATCCCACAGGTTATTTATAGATAACAATTGGATTCTAAAGTTTATATGAAAAGGCCAGACCTAGAATAGTGACACAATACTGAAGAATAAAGTTGGAGGATTCACAGTAACCTTTTTCAAGACTGCTTTGTATAGTTAAAATAAACAGATGATTAAAGGATGATTTCACAAATCACACAGTTTATTGCCATACAAAGAGCTTATCATTTTTATTCATAATGCTCAAAGAATGGGATAATAACAGGAACAAATATCATGGAGAATATACTCCATAGATAAAGTTCAATATCCACATAGTGAATGAGTTCCAATTTAGTTTAGAGTCCAGTTGTTAAAGTCTAATTGCTAAATTAGGATGGAAGCATGCCTCTGTGGTTGTAAAGTCTAGTCAAAGTTTGAAGAGTACCTTTCTATAAGTGGTTTCGGGAGAGATGGTTTGATCAACACAGTGTACATGCATGACAACATGCAAGGTCCCTCAATACTAGCAAGCAGTGCCAGTGTTGCTGGGCTTTGGAGAATAGTTACAAGGCTGACAAAGAGTAACCCTGCTAGTCTTATATTTCAATCTTTGGAAAATGTCTGACATAGAGTAGCCCTGACAAAGCTTAGGTTCTCAATCTGTCAAAATCTTGGGTTTATATGTGTTTTTAGAGTCTGGTAGTTGAGCCCAGTAACTCACATATGTGGTCTGATGAGGAGTGATATAACATTCTCACAAGTAGAGGAATTACTCTTCATGTTCTTATCATAGCAAAAGATGTGTCATTCATGTAGTAAATAAAGTGTTTAAATCATTTCAAAGCTACATAATAAAGATCCCTGATAAAATTACAGTAATCCCGACAGTGTGGTATTGGTCACAGAGTAGACACATATCATCGGAACCAAATAAAAGGCCGAGAAATAGACCCATACAAATACAGTCAGGTGATCTTTGATAAAGGAGCAAAAGCAATTCAATACAGAAAGGATAGTCTTTTTAACAAACAGTACTGTAATACTTGGATGTCCATGTGAAAAAAAAGTAGTATAGACATGGACCACACACCTTTCACTAAATTAACTCAAAATGAATCATGGACTTAAATGTACAAAACAAAACTATTAAACTTCTTTTTTTCTGAGATGGAGTCTTGCTCTGTTACCCAGGCTGAAGTGCAGTAGCATGATCTTGGCTCACTGCAATCTCCACCTCCCAGGTTCAAGTGATTCTCCTGCCTCAGCCTCCCGAGTAGCTGGGATTATAGGCACCGGCCACCACACCTGGATAATTTTTGCATTTTTAGTAGAGACGGGGTTTCACCATCTTGGCCAGGTTGGTCTCAAACTCCTGACCTCGTGATCCACCCACCTTGGCTTCCCAAGGTGCTGGGATTACAGGCATGAGCCACTGCACTGAGCCAAACTATTAACTTCTAAAGAAAACTTAGGAGAAAATCTAGACAGCCTTGGATTTGGCAATTAGTGTTTAGAGGCAAGACCAAAAGTAGGATCCATGAAAGAAAAAATTGTGAATTGGGCATCATTAAAATTAAAAACATCTGTCCTGTGAAAGACACTGTTAAAAGAATGAAAAGACAAGCCACAGACTGAGATAAATATTTGCAAAACATATATCTGATAAAGGACTTGTATCCAAATTTTTTCTAAAAATCTTAAAATTCTACAGTAAGAAAAGAAAGAATCCAATTTAAAATGGGCTACAGAGCTGAAAACACAAAGAAGATACACAGGTGGCAAATACGTGTATGGAAAGATGCTCAGCATCTTTTGTCATTAGGGAATTGCATATTAAAACAATGAGATATCACTACACACCTCTTGGAATGGCTGAAATCCCAGAACACAAATACCAAATGCTGGTGAGGATGGGGAGGTGTTAAGATTGCAGGATGATACAGCCACTTTGGAAGACAGTTTGGCAGTTTCTTACAAAGCTGAAATAAACATGGTCAGCAGTTATACTCTTAGTTATTTACCCAGTTGAAAACCTATGCCCACACAAGAAGTTGCAGATGAATATTTACAGCAGCTTTATTCATAATCAACAAAAACTGGAAGCAGCCCAAGATGTCCTCAATAGGTGAATGGTTAAAGAAACTATGGTACATCTATACGATGGAATATTACTCAGTGATAAAAAGGAAAGAGCTATGAAGCCACAGAAAGACATGGTTGAAACTTAAATGCATATTACTAAGTGAAAGAAGTCAATCTGAAAAGGCTACATATTACATGATTCCGATTATATGACATTCTAGAAATGGCATAACTGTAGTGACAGTAGAAAGATCAGTGGTTGCCAGAGATTTGGGAGGAGGAGAGGAGATCAAATGGCTAAAGTACAGGGGATTTTTCTAGTGTCATGAAACTGCTCTAAGATACTTTAATGGTGGATGCATGACATTATGCATTTGTGAAAACCTGTAGAAATTTACATAATAAAAAGTAAACCTTAATATATGCAAATTAAAAAAATCATTTAGGAGTTTAAAGGATCTCAGAAAGGAATACAGACTGACAAGAGAATCTAACCGTATTACAAATATATGAAACAACCTCCCTAAAGGGTTGAGGGAAAAGGCACTCATCTAAGAAACTTTGGAAATGAGCCTGTAAGACTAAATGCAAAAGCAATTACACCTAATCATTGTACTTTAGTTGATAAAGTTGTTTCTCATTGGGGGTACGCATAAAAAATTCTGATACCTCTATAAATACATACTGGAATTGAATAATTAAGTAAATGGGGAGCAGATGGTTTGGAGCCAAACTTCTTTTTGGAGTAGAAATTTTCAGGTAAGCAAGGGAAGGAGGCTAGAATGATTCATTTGGTGATGATTAGAGTTGGATTAGAGTTGGAGACATCAGTATGAACTCATCTTTAGCTTAATATAGACACAGTTACTTAAATATTTATATATATGCATATACACAAGTTTCTGTACACATATATATATATTCTTGCTGTGTCAGCTGAGAGGGAGTAAAGGATATGACCCCACAGTAGCAAGAAGTACACTTACACCCCAGATCTTTGTTTCTAATACTAGTCGCCAATAAAAGGAACTATGACTCCTCAGAAATGGCTTCTAGGACCAGGACAGGAATTAGTCTAGAAAATAGATGAGTCTAGAAAATCTTGTAGTGCCGGAAAGTAAGAAAATGCTAAGAAAAAGAAAAAAAATCCACATTGATGGGAGCCAAAGGGGCATAGAGCCCACTGAAAGAGCTTCCAATGGCCAAAGTTGGAACAAGTTGAACAACAAAATAAGTAAAATTGCACTGGATAATAATCCAAAGTATGAAATGAATATCCATGAGTCCAGAGTCTCTGTCCTCAAGGAGAAGGAGCTTAACTTCCCACTCCCTAAGTGTGAGCTGCACGTGGTGACTTCCTTACACATCGTTGAGTATGAAAAGGAAAGGCTACAATACTAACTTTACATTGGAGAAACCTGAAGAACATGACCTCAGCCTCAGCCTTAAACATGTTGATCAAGGTCAACATCAACAGTGATAAGTCATATTAATAATATGTACCAGCTGGGCATAGTGGTTCATGCACTTTGGGCAGCCAAGGTGGGAGGATTGCTTGAGCAGGAGTTCTAGACCAACCTGGGCAACATAGTGAGACCTTTTTTATTTTGTAGACAAAATAAAAAGTAAAACATTAGCCAGGCATGATGGTACACACCCGTAGTTCCAACTACTCGGGGATGTTGATGTGGGAGGATTGCTTGAGCCCAGGAGTTTGAGGTTAGGGTGAGCTATGATAGCAACATTGAAGCCCAGCCTGGGTGACAGAGTGAGACCTAGTCTCAAAAAAAAAAAAAAAAAAAAAAAAAATTGTATGTATCTTAACCCCCATCTAATCAAGAGAAAAATATCAGACAAATCCTAATAGAGGGTCATCCTACAAAATAACTGATGAGTATTCCTCAAAACTGTTAAGTCATCAAAAACAAGTCTGAGAAATTGTCACAGCCAAGAGGAGCCTCAGGAGATATGATAACTCAACGTAATATGGTATCCTCAATGGAATCCTGGAACAGAAAAAGGACATTAGGTAAAAACTAAGGAAAGCCTGGATAAAATATGGGCTTTAGCTACTAAGAATATGTTAATATTGGTTGATTGATTGTACCAAATGTGCTATACTAACGCAAGGTATTGACAATAGAGGAAAATGGGTATGGAGTATATGAGAACTCTCTGTACTGTCTTCTCAATTTTTCTACAAATCTAAAACCGTCCTAAAAATTAAGTCTATTAAAAAATGAAACTATTGTTTAAAGTCCTCATAGTAATTCAGCGGTTTCTGTCTCTTCTGCAGTTTTGACAGTATTTCCTGCCTTGCTGACTCTTCTTCCCTCTCGGACATCACCTTTGATGGCAATCCCATAGCTCAAGAGTCATGGTACAAACACACTGTCCTTCAGAATATGATGCAGCTGCGCCAGCTAGATATGAAGAGAATCACGGTGAGAACCCTTCCAAAGTGTTGACCATGTTGTTACCTTTAGTGTGGTTTAAGATATTGCGGTGCATATTCTTTCCTTGAAATGTATCTTAATTTTAATGAACTATGGGTTATCGTGATTATATACTTCATAATTGCATTTACAGAGTTTTTACCACCTGACCCTATCCCCAGTTTAATTGAACAGGACTTTAAAAATTCCTAGCCTTCTGTTTATCATGTTTGTTTTTCATTCTTGCTTAATATCTAACTGATAATTTATTTTGAAATGAATGAGAATTCATTAAGTTACATAGTGTAATGGTTGAGAGCATGGGCACTGGAGCCAGATTGCCTGTGTCTGAATTGTGGCTTGACTGCTTCCTACCCATAGACCATTGCCAGTGTACTTAACCTTTGCATACCTCATTCTCCTTCAAGTAAAATGGGGATCAGAATTACGTCATAGAGTTGTTGTGAAGATAAAATAAAGTACTACACCTTAGAAGACTGTGAGGCTCCTAGGAAGCATTTGTATATAGTTGTTATTGTTATTGTTGATGTTATACCTCCCAAAGAAGCTAACTCTTTTTATTCATTGTATTTCTAGGTTATTTTCTACATTTAGATGTTTTAATATGGCTTCTGTTCTAAGTGAAATGCTGTGCATAATGCCCTCTCTTTTTAACATGTTATAGACTCCAAGATGTTCTGTAATTAAATACACTTGTTTATTTGACCAGGCTTATTTTTTATCAGAAAACACATTTTAATCATCTCAGTGGGATAGTCTCTGACCTAGAAAAATATCCTAAGCCTCTACCTATTTTCTCTCTTCTGGACTGCTAATTCATTTTCATGTGAATTCTGATGATCAACTAGGTTTATACAATTGCCAACTGACCTGTTCCTTTGTATATTAGCTTCACAATGTGTGCAGTTTTCATTTACGCATCAGCAACACTGTGGACCTCTAACGTGTCTAGCTAATAGGTAAAAGTGTGGATGAATTGATGAATACCAGAAGTCTTCTAGGGCTCACCTTTCTCTGTTCCATGATGGAGCTATGGTTCTTTGTTCTCTCAGTTAATTCAGCTCTGTAGTGTCAATACTGTTTCATACTTTTGCGGTGACTCTTTACCCTTATCTCCCATGTCTTTCTTAATTAAGCATCTGTGCTACTTTTTAATTACTCTTTCTGATGTGGTTGAGATGAGTGGGGTAAGATGTAGAGCTAATCCATTTATATAAATTAGTACTTAATTTTATGGTATGTTCCTAATAGTGAATTTATTAGTCAGTCTTGTCTACCCAAACTATATGTAGTCTTTAAGGTCAGAAGTCATTCTTCTTTTTTGCCTGGCACATACAGATATTCTTTAAATGCTTACTACCATTCCTTCTCTATCTCACATACTACTGAGAATGTAGTTTAACTTAATAATAATTAATAAAGGCTTGTTGACTGAATGAAATTTATCTGATTTCCATGCCTTAAATAAAGGCAGATGATACTGTATGTATTATTGTCCTTGTGCATTCCATAGGTTAGGTTTGCCTGGTAAGGAAATGGGGGAAGATACCCCGGACGGGAGCAGTGCCACAGTTCTGCTAAATGTATGGCATTAATAGCTATAAAGTATATAAAGATATAGGTCACATATATCTAGGATATATATAGACTATATATTTACATGTAGGATATAAATATACATTAGCACTTATAAAGCATATCTGCTCTACTACCATTTAATTTTTAAAAATTAAAAATAAATTAGAAATAATCTCAAAATTATAAAAAGATTGTGTACAGTAAAAGGTCTTTTTCTTTTTCTTACCATTGAGAGTAAGCTGTTGACTTGATTCCCCAGCAACCATGGACACTTCAATGTGTAATTTCAGTAAGCAAAGACATTCTCCTATATAACCACAATATAACAACAAAATCAAGAAACACTGAAAAATTGCTAGCATCTGATTCTCACACCACATTCAACATTTACCAGTTATATCAGTATTGTTCTTTATAGCAAAAAGATACAGTTTAGAATTATGCATTGCATATAGATGAATTTTGTTGTCATGTGTCTAAAGTCATCATTTTTCTGGAACTATTCATCAATATTTCTTTGATTTTCATGACTTTGATATTTATGAAAATTATAGGTCAGTTTTTTTGTAGAATGACCCTCAATTCAGATTTTTTGGGTTCATCCTGATTAATTTTTACTTATAGGTTTTTGGCATTAATATCATAGTAGGGATTTTGTATTCTTATTGCATCTTAGCCCAGCATGTCCTACAACATGTTATTCATATTTCTTTATTGAGGATGCTTACTTCAGGATGATTTCTGCCAAACTTTTCTTTGTGAAGTTTCTCTTTTTCCCTTTGTAATCCCATTCCTCATAAAATTTTCAATTTATTCATTCATTTGTATTAATATGGACTTATGGTATTTAGTCTCACCTTTTGTTTATAACTTTTTAGTAACTTTAGTGTGGAAGCTGTACCTTTTCAAAGGACTTTTTATAACAAATGTCAGCAAACAGCCTATGAGCTGGCTGTTTTTGTAAACAAAGTTGTATTGGAACACAGTGATGCCCATTCACCTATGTTTTATCTATGTCTCCTTTGATGCTACAATGGCAAAGTCAAGTAGTTGCTATGGACACCATATAGCCTACAAGCCCAAAATATTATCTGGCTGAAAAATTTGATGATGCCAGGTTTTGTTTTGTTTTGGTTTTGAGACAGAGTCTTGTTTGGTCACCAGACTGGAGTGCAGTGGCGATCTTGGTTCACTGCAATTCTGCCTCCTGGGATCAAACAATTCTCCTTCCTCAGCTTCCTGAGTAGCTGGGACTACAGGCGCGTGCCACCGCACCCAGCTAATTTTTGTGTTTTTAGTAGAGACGGGGTTTCACCATATTGGCCAGGATGGTCTCGATTCCTTGACCCTGTGATCTGCCCGCCTCAGCTTCCCAAAGTACTGGGATTACAGGCGTGAGCGATATTGCCAGTTTTGAAACTATTTTTTCTCTTTACAAAACAATATCTTAATTGAATTTTTGTGTAAATTACCATACAAACATTCTTGCTGTGTTGGACTTCACAAATATTTAATGAACTTCTGTGCACTAGGGCAGTGGTTCCTAAACTGCCTGCAGAGGATGCTCCAGTCAACTCACAGGAAATGAATATTTTTAATTTCCAAGAGAAATTTCCCAGTGAGATTTGACATCTGTGAGACTCTGAGCAACTTAGTAGCTCAAAGCAGTTTACTTCTGGGGTCCAACCCACAGACCCAGACAGGCATGGCAGATGAATAATGTACACTGACACAGATATTTTGCCTGGTAGTCTGGCTAACCTACACTGAGAAGGGTGTGGTAAAGAGTTAGCAGCTGCAGCCCAATCAGCCAGCAAAGTTGTTTTATTTAGTACAGATTAAATGGCAAATGTCTTGAGTAAACACCGCTAGAGGGTAATTGACATTGCTGGCCTCCTGAGTAGAGAGCAATCAAGCACCCTTGGATAATCAAAAGGTCTTAAGACTACATGAGTAAACAAGCTATTTAGATAAACTCCTCTACATTCCTATGTATCTAAGCCCTAAGCTTTTAGAAGAATTCAGCTGCCTTCAGCCAAACCTTTTACTGAAGCTATGCAAACCCCCCCGCCCCGCACCTTCCAAGAAAGTTTGTGACTATTTCCTATAATTTTTCTTCTAAAATTTTTCCCACCACCTGGACTGAACTCCCACATCTCCTCTTTTTCTTTCTTTCTTTCTTTTTTTTTTTTTTTTTTTGCATCTGGCTTTATTGATTGAAGAGTACAGATGTGTTCAGTAACAGGGCTGTTAGTCAAGGTGGTCATTGCTCTTATTCCGGCTTTGCATCCTAGAATTAGTAAATAACATAAGACAAACATAAGTATAATCAGTGACATTCTTTTCCAAACAAGGAGTGACCTGGCACCTTAGTCTGATGTGTGCCATTGCTAAGGAACCCCACTAAGGGTATGTTAATTCCTCCTAGCCAAGCAGTCCTCTCATTAGAGGCTGAGAAGGGAGTGTCTGCTTAAGTAACAGGACGGGGAAGGCAGATTAGAAGATAGGCTCGAATAGAGTGTAGCAAGTACAGGTTGCAGGCAGAGTGAGAGAATAAAAAAGGAACAAATTGTCTGGGGTGAATGGTGTTTGGTTTGGAGTAGGATTTGCTTAGCCTACTGAGTTGCCTTCTTCAGCATAATGTTCAGGGCCTGTGGAATCGACATTGCCTGGGGCTGCAGGAACTGTAGGGTCTTTCCTAGGCTGGTTTGAGTTTTTAATTCTTTCCATCCTTTGATGAGGACGTAGTCTCCAGGCTGGTGCTGGTGTACTGGAAATTCTAGGAGTTGTGCCTATGCTAAGTAGGAGAACTTTTATAATCTTTGTTAAAGAACAGGTTAGTACTTGAAGAAAAACCTGTTGTGCTTTATTTTAATGTCTAGTTTATAGAAAAACTGGATACTTCTTTAACTTTAGCCAATATGTTTACACACAGAATTTCTTTTACAATTAACATTTTAAAACTTGCTTAGACCTTCAAAACAAAAATTATACATTTCTTACATAAGTTTCTTTTTATAACATTTTTCATGACTTTCACAATCTCTGACATTCCTTAACTTTCTTTGTTTTATAACCTTCCTCACTAAAGGTGCATTCTTACATCTATAACATTCTTAACATTTTTTTCTCTTCTTCCTACTTTATCTCTCTCCTGTCTTACTTTTTGTGTCTCTCTCTGATCTCTGTCTCTTCTAGTCTCTCACTTATTCTTTCCCACTATTTCTCTCTCCAATCTTTCTGTTCTGTCTGATCTCAGAAGGTAAGCAGGGTCAGGCCTGGTTAGTACTTGAATGGGAGAACGCATGGGTACAACAGGTGCTATAGGGTCAGTTTCCTCATTTCTGGAACCGTGTTGGGTCTTAGCCACACCATGGTCAGGTTTGATGCATTGTGCTGGAATCCAGAGA